TACGAATGATCGAACGAGGTATAGCATTATTCAAATAAGGCCTTATTTAATCACATGCATTCCAGATTCTGTCTATTAGCATATCTCTTGTGGTTACGGGAGTCAGGCACACTTTTTCTTTTAGAAATCCCCACACAAAGAAATCTAATGGATTTAGGTCAGGGGATCGTGGAGGCCAGGCGACTGGTCCTCCACGGCCGATCCATCTTTCTGGATAATTTTCGTCCAGCCAGTTTCTAACTATTCTCGAATAATGAGCTGGACAACCATCAAGCTGGAACCAGGCCAATCTTCTCAAATCTAACATAACTACATCCCACATATTTGCATGTTCAGCCTTTAAAAATTCCAAGAAGGTCGCAGCATTTAACCTTGCACGCAAAAGGTATGGTCCAAATAGTCGATTACGGTAGATACCAGAAAATTTCTTTCCCGAAGTGCATGCGGATTTTCATACGACCAAATATGTTGATTATGAAAATTTACCACTCCACGTCTAGTGAAGCATGACTCATCGGTTCATAAAACGTTACTCCCTATTATTATCAGTTCTATCAAGAATCAACTGACAAAATGTGATTCTTCGTTCTCCGTCCCCTGGCTGTAGTCCTTGCACAGGCTGCAAATGGTAAGGACGTCTACGGTCATTTCTAAGAACACGGTGAACATGGCTTGCTGAAATTCCCAAGGCACCAGAAACTCTCCTAACACTTGTGGTCGGATCTCTATCAAACTCACGCAGAATCATACGGGTAAATCTGCGCTGACGAAGATTTATGTTTTGATCCCTTTGGAGATTTCCATAACCATTTTCAATTATTTGGCGATGCACTCTTACAAATACTGAGCGAGTTGGATGTCGTCTGTTTGGAAATCTTCGTGCGTATTCTCTGGCTGCTTCTGCTGCATTTCCATTTACAAAGCCATACACAAAATGAATATCCGCAAACTCTTGATTGGAGAATAAAAATGGCATTTTTATAAAACTTACAAAAAAAACAGGTAAAAGAAAATAAATTTCGTGCATTCACAATTGCAAAAAAACGTTTCAGGTTTCAACAGACAACAAAACTAACTGTCAACTAATTGACGTTTAACCTTGTTCTGCTTTCAATTTCAAAAATATTTGCAAGCACAGCCTACTTCTAAAAATTATCGAGATACTGACTTTTTAACGTTATTTTATCATAAATAATTAAAAATGCATCGAACCTTAAAAATCGAAATATCTCAAAAACGGCTAACTACAACGAAAACTCACAGGAGAGCTTTTTTATGCAGAAAAGTGTGAAGAATCATTTTTTTTATTCAAAAAGAAAAAAATTGTACTAAGAAAAAATTTTTGGTCATTTTAATACACTACAGGTACAGTAGAGAGCGCCCTCTAACGGCTACAGTAAAACTATGCCCATGGTTCATTTTGTCGTACCAAAAAACCCTTTTATACCAATTTTCACTAATATACATCAAATATTGTTCGAAATATTTAAAAAAAAACTATTTTAGAAAGTAAATTTAAACACCCTGTATTTCGGAAGCTACGCATTTTTCGACCCATGTTTATATAGACTTTATGCATTAATTTTGAAAGCTCTATCGAATCTTAAAGTTATGCAACAATAAACTGAAACACCCTGTATGCACATATTTCACAACGGAATGATGGTAAATGAAATGGCTGTTCATCTCAAGATGCAAAAAATTTTGCTGGGTATTTTTTACTTCGTACGCCAGTGCCACTATTGAGGCAATATTGTAATCGCGAAAAACTGAACGGTAACGAGATACTACGTTTTTTAGATGTTAAGCTGAAAACGGGGGATAGTCCAAGCCATAATATTTATCAGAAAAATATAAAAAATCCAAGTCGTATACTTTTCAAATTATGGGCTTTAACAAAATTTACACCCTGTGATGATCTTTTAGTTCCCATTACTAGAAATTTTAACTTTTCCTTAGACGCGATTTCGTGTTTGTTTCCAAGTTTGACGTTTAATAAAAAACCATAGATCAAAGCATTAATAGAATAAATCTGTTGTGATATCTGTCATATATTTTTTTTAGAGCTAGTTAGTCATTAAGGAATTAAGGATTTAATGTAGCTTCGTTATTTACACTGCTTAAAACGCTGTGTTTAGCTTTGTGTGTACTCAGACTTTATAGTCGTGACACATACCTGTATTCTCAGCTTTCGCTTTGCCAAAATAAATGTATGAAACTATAACTATGTCAGGCTTCCAAACTGAACTGAGATACGTAGCATATCCGCTGGTATCAGTGATGGGCGCATTGTATACACTATTGTATACGCGACTACACCATTGAATACGTGTATACAATGGTGATATTTACGATTACAATGTAGAGAACGTATACAATAGCAAATCATAGTTCAACTACTTGCATATGGTGCTGGCGAAAATCATATTTCATACATTACCTACACGCTTTTGGTACTCTATACATTACCTAGGTATTGTATAGAATACCGGATTATACAGATTGCCGGTAACAATCCCCCCCCTTCCCACTTTAGTTGGCCCAACTATTGAAGTCTTAGTTTTTTTCTTATCAAACACAAATAATAAAAATGTAGCAGGGTGTTATAGGTTTAAAATATTAACAATGAATATTTTGATAATATATAGTAGAAAACACCAACTTTATCACTCCCTAATCAAATTTGCAGCATAAAAATAACACATGTTGCAATTACAGCATATCAACCTATTTTCATTTCAATGCAAAACAAGTCTATAACGCATAGGTGGGTGTGAAAAATAAAAGCCATGACAATTGTTTTTATTAATCACAGCTGACAGAATACGTTTAAAATAGTTTTGGGTGGTTAAGGTTTTCAAAATGGGTAGAGGAAAGGTTATTAGTGAGAAAATTCGGTTACTGATAATTAAATTTTTTAATTCTGGGAAATCAAACTCAGAAACTGCAACTTTGTTAGACTTATCGCGGTACAGTGTGAGAAATATTGTTAGAAGATATAACGTAACTGGTTCAGTTAATATTAAGCCACGATATGTAAAAAAAAGTAATACCACAAATGCCGACCGAAGAGCACTAAGAAGAATAATCGTGAAAAACAGGCGTGCCAATTATTTACAATCAAGTGTTCTGTGGAGTGACGCTGTTGGAAGGAGAATTTCGAGGTCCACAACTCATAGAGACCCACAAACTGGGATTTGGCACTTGCAAGGTAAGTTTTCTTATAAAAAAATGAAGTAAAATCCTTAAAGTTGCACAACTTGTTTATAGGCCAAAGAAAAGCCTCTATTAACTCCACTGCAAAAGAAAAATCGGCTTAGATGGGCTAAAGAACATAGACAATGGACACCTCAACAATGGTGTGCAATACAATGGAGTGATGAGGCCCGATTCGAAGTTTGTGTTGGTGACAGTCGCAGTAGAGTTATTCGCAAAAAAATGAAGCATTGCATGTTGACTGTCTGAAGAGAAAAGTGAAATTTCTAGCATACATTATGGTCTGGGGCAGTATGCCATCAAAGGGAGTAGGAAAACTTCATTTTATTGATGGAAATGTGGATACAAACAAATATTTGGCAGTTTTAGAAGAATCGCTTTTACCAGTGATAGAAGAATGTTTGACATCCGGCTAAGATTTTGTGTTTCAGCAAGATGGTGCAGCGTGCCATACCTCAAAAAAGGCTATAAAATGGATGGAAGAAAATAATGTACCACTTTTGAAATTGGTTTCTAGCAGTCCAGATCTATGAAAAAGGTTCTACAACATCCTGCTCGTACAATCACCGAACTGAGACAAGAGCTTCAAGAAATATGGGAGTCGTAATAGAAAATAAAGGTGATGTTACCCAATGGTAACCTTTCAATTGTTGCTTTGTTAACTTTGCGCATTTATTTGCACATTGTTTTATTGTTCAGATGTTCTATTAGTTATAGGTCTAGGTGATTTCAAATATGTATTTTTTACGACTAGAGTGTATCTAAAATGTTTTTGAGAAAATAAATTGTTTTAGAAGTAAATAGTTTCGTCATGTTTAGTTTATAAAGGCATATTTTGTTACAAATCTCGAGGTGGGCCAAGTGAAGTGGGAAGGAGCTCGTACATTATATACATGTGAAAGTTGAGACGTATATACTCACCATTGTATACGCGTATACAATGGCGTATTATACATGGTGTATACAATGCGCCCATCACTGGTTATTATTAAAGTGCAGCTAAAAAATTATTTGTGTGAAAAAAATGTATAAAACCACAAACTGCATTTTTTCGAAGAAATTTATAATTAGTCATTCTTCATACTTGGCGCTTAGAATAGTCGTGTACAAGTCCAAAAACTCGGCACTTTGGAGTGTCAACAGCCTTGCATTTAAGATAAATCAAGGACGATGGCGTTACGAAACAACTTGCTGCAATTTAACTTGATTAGTATCAATTATCAGCTTTAAAGACCGCAAGACTACCGAAATAATGAGGAAATGAGGCATGTGACATTTATTAGCATTCTAATGTGCTAATTCACTTGACTGTGATACAGTTTTTAAACCATTATTTACAGTTATTGTATCAACCGATATTGCATAAAGATCCGTAGTTTAAAAATCAATATAGCTTTATTCATAAGGTATGGGTACCCATTAACCAATGAAACGGGTAAATGACTTTATATTTTGTTGTCTTGCTTTTTTCCCCATCTTAACTGTAATTCGAGATAACAAAATAAATAAGAATAACATTTGAATAGTTCAAGATGGCGGCTTAGCGCCATCTTCGAATGGTTCTTTTAATAGAATGGAGACACATAAGATTTTAAGGCTCCTTATCAGTAGTCTATAATCCTAGAACCTGGATTTACTATCTCTCAAAAATGTAAACCGGTGGGCTGACAATGTTGAGTGTTATTGTGGGTTGGATAACCCATAACTCAATAACTAATATATATATATATATAAATATCGTATATTCAGGCATCTCAGCTTACAACGCTTCAATTTTATTTCAGAAAGACCAGTGTATCGTAAACCAGACGCCTTCTTGACCTACCTGCTCTCCCTGAGTGTGGTACGACCTCCAGTACCTTACACCAACCATCATGTACCTGTACGACATCAGATAGCTCACCACATCCCAGTCGTATCGCACCATTTTCCAGTATTGCCTCAAAAAGACCACCACAACGTTAATGGTCTATATCAACATCAGCTAGACCACCATTTCCCTGGGTCAAACCATTTGGATAATCACCAACCTGTGACTCATCCACCAAATAAAGAAATCTATCCAGGTCATCAGATTATACACCATGAGGAAATATCTCACCAAGTTCCTGTTCATGATGAAGTAGTTGGGCACCACATGCCTTATCAAATAAAGCAACCTATCCAGCATCATCGTGTTCCTGAACCTGAACCTCTCGAGAGAACGGGGCCGTTTAAGATTTGGTATTATTGGAACCAGATAGATTTTGCCTACTTGTCACCCGAAGATAGAGAAAAGGCTATTTTGTATGGTGACTTTATACCAGAGAATAATCTTCCTTTAGGTAAACATTAGGCAATAACCTTTGTTACCTCAGCATGCTTTAAATATAGTCATTATAAATATATATATATATAACTTGAGACGTGGTCATTGTCGTCTAGACCAGTTAGGTGAAAAATTAAAGCTTCCGCCTTTTGTTGTGCAATCATCAAGTGGCTTCACGATGTAATGCTCTAATGTTTTTTAAATAATTTTTAATCTGTTTTTAACTTGTTCTTGTCATATTTTATATAATTTTGACCATTGTACAATCTATCCAGCTCTCACCATGTTACTGGACGTTTCCCTCATTCTATACGTAAACAACAATTAGCAACATCCTCACATACTACTCTCCTGATGATGATGGCAAAGTCCATTGAAAGCTAGAGAGAATTAAAAAAAGTATAAAGAGTCCTCTTTGCTTAAATTTTGTCGAAGTACCCAACAAAAGGCGGAAGCTTTAATTTTTCACCTATATATACAGGGTTATCCATATTAAGTGTCCACCATTAGTAACTTTGTTATTAGTGAAAATACAAAGTTGTTTGAATTAGCAAACTAGTAGCATTTTTAACGCTGGTAAAAATGAGAAATAAAAAAAAACAATTGAGAGTCGTTATTTTGATTTTTTTCAGTAAAATAACATTTTTTTAAATGGAAACCCCTGTATATTATATTTTTTTCTGTTAAAGCATCAAATTTTAAACAAAAAAGCTTACAATAACTTTTCTCCTAGGTTACAAATTGTTGAAGTTATGGCCTCCAATCTGAAACAATTAAATTGTATCGACAAACTTTATTTTCAACATCAACTTATAATCTTACAAAATACAATAACAATTTTTTTTAAGGAAGATGCTCGAAAACACCACCTTGTTCTTCAATACATTTTTGGGCACGTTTTTCAACTGCTCGAACTGTCTTAAGTATGGTCCTACCATCTATCTGGGTTATCTTTTCCCTAACTGCAGTCTTTAACGCGTCAAGGTTATCGTACCTTCGCTTGTAAATTTGTTTCTTTAAGTAACCCCACAAGAAGTAATCAAGTGGGTTTAGATCTGGTGATCTGGGAGGCCACTGTATTGGGCCATTTGTTCCTATCCACTGATCATTAAAAGTAGTACTTAGAAAATGATAAGTACCTCTGGAGTTGTGGGCAGGTGCGCCATCTTGCTGAAAATGCAGATGATGTCAACTTATAAGATCCAATTCGTCCAAGAAATTAGTCATAATTTCTGACATAAATTCCACATATCTTTCACCAGTTAGGGTTCCCTCATAAAAGAACGGGCCAACAATTTTTGAACCAATTATACCGCACCAAACGTTGAAACTGAAACGGACTTGTGGGCCTCTTGGATGTACTAACAAAAGATTTTCTCTTGACCAATAATGGTGGTTTTTTCTATTAAACATTCCAGAATTTGAAAAATTTGATTCATCTGTCCATAAAAGGTAACGAAAGTTATTTACATTTTGGCGACAGAAGCTAAGATACCAATGGCAAAAAACAAGTCTTCTCTCTGGATCCCCTGCCAAAAGCGTTTGAACTGGTCGGTACTTATACGGAATAAATTTGTATTTTTTTAAAATCCTTTGAACAGTACCATCACTGAAATTAGAGTCCTTGAGAATATCTGCTATTGAATTCTCACGATAAGCTTCAAAATATCCAATAACTGCAATTTCCGTGGCCTCGCTTATTATGAATTCTTTTTTTGCCCTTGTTTTAGCAAAAACATTTTCGTTGCCCCTAAATTTTCGATAAAGTCTCAGAAAATATCGTTCATACGGTTGAATGCGAGCGGGATATAATTCACTGTAGTATTCTCTTGCTCTCAAGGAGGATTTTCTGCACACTAAATAGCATTCTAACATATCACACTTTTCTTCATGGGAGAACATTTTTCTTTAAATTAATGACACAATAAAGCTTATAAACAAGTATTTACACTAATGTTTGACATTATTTGATTTTATCATTGTTTTCCAAAGCCTTCTAGTTACGAGTATGTCCAGTTTAACAATTTGTCGCTTATCTTAATGCTGTCAAATCGCGAACGCCATGTTGTTTTCATAGCCGTCTTAATATTATAATACTGCAAATAATAAAAAATATTTATCGTTATTTTGACTTTATTTTTGACTTTAGCGGAAAAGTCATTATGAACTTTTTTGTTTAAAATTTGATGCTTTAACAGAAAAAAAAAATATAATATACAGGGGTTTCCATTTAAAAAAATGTTATTTCACTGAAAAAAATCAAAATAACGACTCTCAATTGTTTTTTTTTATTTCTCATTTTTACCAGCGTTAAAAATGCTACTAGTTTGCTAATTTAAACAACTTTGTATTTTTACTAATAACAAAGTTACCAATGGTGGACACTTAATTTGGATAACCCTGTATATATATATATATTTATATTGAGACGTGGTCATTGTCGCTTAGACCAGATAGGTGAAAAATAAAGCTTCCGTCTTTTGTTGGGTACTTCGACAAAATTCAAGCAAAGAGGACTCTATACTTTATTAATCTCTAGCTTTCAATGGACTTTGCCATCTTCATCAGGAGCTGCATTAACATTGAGAAAAAATAGCACCTATTGTGCAAAATGATTTCAAAATTAACTTACAGTTGTTGCAACAATCTCATATACGACTGTAAGTTAATTTAAAAATCATTTTGCACAGTAGTTGCTATTTCTTCTCAATGTTATTGCAGCTCCTGGTGAAGATGGCAAAGTCCATTGAAAACTAGAGATAAATAAAGTATAAAGAGTCCTCTTTGCTTGAATTTTGTCGAATTACCCAACAAAAGGCGGAAACTATACTATACTCTATGTTATATCCTTTTGCCTTTCACCTACTGGATATGCAGACATTAAGTCAGATATACCCAAATAAGTTATATCACTATGCTAGTTAAACTTCAGGATCAAGCTTATTGAATGAATGAGGGCCGTACTTAGCTCTTCCTTAGGCTGGTGCTGTTCCTAGAATGGAAATAGATGTTTGATTCATTACCTTCTTGCAATAAAATAATGCTAAATATTTTAAGGATTGGAGGTTTGGAAGGACCGACTTTTCGTAACAATGCCAAAATGGAAGACAGGAGTACCAGCCTCGTTAACGGTGATACCTAAAGTGCCAAGGGAACCTTCACCAAAGCTTGTGCCATATCCGAGTTGGAGGTGGCATCAAACAGGTGAAAATTGCATTTGTTTGTCTTTCTATTAATACTGTTTTTTTTAAAGATCCATCCTACTTATTTTTTGATCGGGTCAAGTTAGAAAGCTGCTATTTGGGGTGATGGAGCTGACGCATGAACTCTATGTTTTAAGGTGCCAGTAAAAAATGTATACTTTCTTAAGAGCTCATTTTAAAGTTATTATCTTCCAAAATAGCTGGCAGGCTGTCAAAGTTCAACGTTTTTGTACATTCAGGTGTGCCTACATCTCAACTACCAATCATCAAAATTCTGTAGTGTGGTATATTAATATTATTTTCTTGTAGGGATCTATCCTATAACTGTCGATAATTAGATGTTATATTTGATTCAATGTACAAAAGCTTTGGCAGTCTGGCATTCCGTAATTTTGAAAGATAGTGACTATATTGTTGGATTATAAAGTAATCATAAGGAGCTTCAAGGTAAGGTATCCATTTGTGGAATATTCAGCTGCTATCTTGAAATTTCCAGCTGTTTATCTTCACGTTGAGACATTGTATCCATGCGACAGCCCTGTAACTAGACCCGTCCAAAAAACAAGTAGATTAAGCCCTGTACGGCATAATAACTATGCAAAAATCAATATGAAGTCAACCAATACTATTTTCTAGGACAAGAAATGGTTTTAACCTGCTACTATTTTGTGACGAGCAGTTTCAAATCTTTTAAAGAAATCCTGTATTGGTTATTTTTTGCTATTAAATTCTCTACATTCAGAATATTTTTGTAAGCTATACTGAGTACTATTTTCATATTCATAGGTACCTGCGATGCCATCATTTCTGTATTCAGAATCCAAGCGGACAGCTGTAATAGACTGTGGGTTCTCGACAGCGGTCAAATTACAGTGACAACCGATCCCAACCAGATCTGTCCACCGAAGCTGCTAATTTTTGACCTGCTAACAGACCAACTGCTAACAAGGTACGCATTACTTCTTTGGAGTATATTTAATAAGACCCAGAGTGTAGATGGGTTTGTTTGGTAAACATAGAATGACGTTTACCCGCGCATTCACCTTATAACAGGAAGCGGACAGCTTTGTGATTGACAAAAAGAAACGGTAGTAGTAACAGTAGTAGTAGCCTGACAACAAGGCCACCTATGATGCTTTTTGCCGACCCAGAAGTATCAACACTGTACTAGTCCACGTGCTATCTAAAGGCAACTGATATAATCAACTAGCTCTAGCTCCTCCTCCTCTAGCACCTATAGTTAATGTTGCACCCAGGTGCATGATATAGACAACACACAACACATCATCCACGGCTCAGAATTAAACAGCTGCTGCGGAGATTCAAACCTGCGAGCCCTGGGTTGCCAGCTTGACGCGGTGGCAACCGAGGTAACTACCGAGGCTCTCGTGAAAAAAAATTCAAGATTCCTGTTTTTCTATTACCTAAAACACAATATATAAATTTGGATGCCTTAAGAGCTATCGCCTTCACATAAAACTTTATAATGATACCTCTTACATATTGTTTTCATTTCTTGATACAGGTATGATCTTCCTCCAGACCAGGTGAAGAAGGATGGGCTGTTCTCGAATCTTATGGTGGATATTAGAGAGAATGATTGTATAAATGTTCATGCATATCTGACAGACGTTTGGCGGTTTGGTTTGGTTGTTTTCAGCCTGGAGAAGATGCGATCATGGCTCATCACTGATCATTTGTTTTTTCCTGAACCACTGGCTGCAGCTTATAAGGTAATGACTCATTCTGAGAAATCCATGTTCTAATACCTTCAGACATCTATCGACAGTATTGGATGGATGAAGTAATCCCAAAGTGTGTCCCGATCGGCACAACAGATACTCAAAATTTTAAAAGCGCCTTCTTCACTGAAATTTTATACGGCGTGTGTGACATTTGGAAATCCGGTAATTTACTGATTATGGATCGGTTTGCGATAGAGAGCGAGCAACCTCTAATAACCCCGGTTAATATTTTTTGTCGGAATCTCAGAAGGAGAAAATCTTTTCAAATCAAAACAATTCGCAAACCAACGACTCTTTCATACTGATCCATCGTTTAGGCAGAAGCCGTATGTCCCGAGACTATCCGTTACAGAAGCATCACCGATCAGTCAGACAGTTCTCATATGAACAGCATCGAATATGGACAATATAGTCCCGACAGCAGCACTCCAAACATGTGAACACTACTCGATGCTTGATCTTTTCTGGACCCTATCAGAATTATGTGAACCCCAAACAAATAGCCTAATTTTCTCCCAGTAGCTGTTGCGATTGACAAGATGTATCCGAGCCAAATGAAGTCTATCGAAGCTCAGACCAGCCGAAACCGATAGCTGCTTAGGAGAATTAGGCCATCCATCGAAACCGGATGAACAGAACGGCCTTGTTAGTCAAGGTACCGTGCTGTATTTTGGAAGCATTGAGCTGTTCCATATTGGTGTCATAACTTCCAGATACTCATGACACAGGAAGTCGCTACTTATTTTCTTCTCTCTAGCTAACCAGATGAGATCGCCTTGCCACTTAGAATGGGTGTGCATAGAGCGTGCAAAGAGGAGGTCATCTATATGTAAGAGAAACACGGTTGGTGCCAAGACTGATCCCTGGGGAACCCAGACAATGCATGAAGGAGAGAACCCAGTTATCTACATTATATATATATATATATATATATATATATATATATAGGTGAAAAATTAAAGCTTCCGCCTTTTGTTGGGTACTTCGACAAAATTTAAGCAAAGAGGACTCTTTATACTTTTTTTAATTCTCTCTAGCTTTCAATGGACTTTGCCATCATCATCAGGAGCTGCAATTACAATGATAACAGTAGCAACAAAGGTGTAAAATGAATTTAAATTGACTCAACTTACAGTAGTATGTGAGGATGTTGCTAATTGTTGTTTACGTATAGGATGAGGGAAACGTGCAGTAACATGGTGAGAGCTGGATAGATTGTACAATGGTCAAACTTATATAAAATATGACAAGAACAAGTTAAAAACAGATTAAAAATTATTTAAAAAACATTAGAGCATTACATCGTGAAGCCACTTGATGATTGCACAAATTAGTGGTCATGGAATGATGAGTGACATGAAACCCTTTGACAGAAGGCCGAAGGATGTCAATGTCAGTATTGAAAGATGGAACGAATTGTGGGCGTGTGCCAAACGTTGCCAAATCACTTCAGATGATGAGATTTTCAGAATTTTATGTTAGAATTTGTTAAACCGACCAGAGGCAGTTGAATAAACTATATTATTATTAATGGGAATTTAAATTAACAATTATTAATAAATCGTGAGGAGAGAACATTAATCCAGATAAGACTCAAATATTACTATTTTGTTCCGACGCAAGGAGAAGTGTCGTGGAGAATACATTTAAAGTTAACCTTGATGGCTCGCTGCTGCAGATTGCTAATTCAGCTACAATTTTAGGTGTTGAAGTAGATAGCAAATTGAGATTTAGGAAGCATGTTATGTCCTTAGCTAAAAAAACGTATGGTCGAATGAGAGCGTTATATGCCAATCGCCACCTTCTGAACTTTAAACTGAGGAAAAAACTTTGTGAGTCTCTTGTGTTGCCAATTCTCAGTTATTGTGATATTTTATATTACCCATGTCTTGATGAACGGATGAAAAGCAGGCTTCAAATAATTCAAAACAATTGCATTCGCTTTATTCATGGATTGAGGAGATTTGACCATGTTAGTGACAAATACAGCCAAATGAAATGGCTAAGAATTGATAAACATGTGCGGTGCAAATACTTAGTGTTTTTGCACAAGTTGATAGCTGCGTCAAGACCTGCATACCTGAGAGAAAAGATCATATTTAATCAAGAAATTCATGACAGGATTACCAGGGACCGTATTATGATCAGGATACCTCCATACTCTATGACACTCTTCAAGCGTTGTTTCTCGTATAATGCTGCCGTATTTTACAATGCTTTGCCCAGAAAGTACAGGGAAATGTCTTTTGCTCGTTTTCGAAGGCAAATCAAGCAATTTATGCTCACTCTTCCCTGATATTTATATAACTGATTTTCTGAGCCGTTTAGGCATACGTGTACATAGTGTATATAGTTGTAGTGTTCTTTAGTTTAGTTGATTAGTTATTTAACCTTTCTGTACTCCTTAGTTTTTCTTATATATTTTTTTTTTCTCTTTTTTTTGGAATTGCACACAACATCGTGCTTAAAGTACAGACAAAGGTAGTTAAGTGTAAGAGTAGCTCAAGCTAAACTTCGCTATCTTTGTCCCTCACATGTACAAAATATGAATAAAGGCGTTATTATTATTATTATTATTATTATAATTATTATATTTTGAGTGGAATGAAATTTACTGGTGGAATCGGCCAAAACACAGATTCTAATTATGGTTGTGAAGAGTTGAAATTTGGGGAGATATGTAAGTTCTCCAATTTTTCGCAGTTTAGCAAATATGAGTAAATGACACTCAGTTGTTTAACATCTGTCTTTTTGTTGATACAGTTGTTATTCAAGAAAATGTGGGACATTTCCAGGAATAAACGTTTGGAAAGGTGTTTTTCTTTATCAAGAACTTTGATACTTGTGTAATTCATAGAATGCCCTGTTGTGTTAACATGAGATGCTAGAGCGCATCTTTCAGGATGAAGCCTAGCATCACTTTTGTGTGATGTAATCCTTCCTTTAAGAGATCTGGAGGTCTGACCTATGTATATTTGGTTGCAGTTGTTGCAATTGATGGAGTAGACTGTGTTGGTTAAGCCAAGCAGCGGGACTTTGTCTTTCATTTTTGAAAAAATGCAGTTTATAGTGAGGACGGATTTGCAAGCAATTCGAAAGTTCAAAGGACTGCACAATCTGATCAGCTTAGGGGTCAGTTCCTTGATGTAGGGCAGGACAGCAAAACCAGGTCTGGAGTCCGGGTTGGTGCTTGTACTGTTAGGATTGATGTTATTATTGGGAATTACATCAGTTCCGTTATTGGTGGTTGTGCGACTATTACCTGCATCACCAGAGTTCGGCAAAATATTGGAAGGTGAACTAAAAATGATCTTGTTAATCAGACACTTCGGATAACCATTAATGATGAACAGTTTTGATAGTTTACGTAAATTTGAGGTGTGGAAGGTATTATCTGAGATGCTGATTACCCTTGTTTTCATCTGTTTTACCAAATTGATTTTAATCCCTAGCTTATGGTATGACCTAAAATTGAGAAACCGACCTGAGGCCATAGGTTTCTGGTACCAGTCTACCAATAAACTGTTGTTGTTGGTGCGAATGAGTCTTGTGTCTAGAAAGGGGACAGACAGGTTCTCATCTTCTTTTTCAATGGTAAATTGGATGTAGGGGTCATAGCTATTGAATTCTCTGACAATACCATCCAGACCTATGGAAGGGAGGCATAAAATAATGTCATCTACGTATTTTTTTATGAAGAAGAGGTTATAGGGTAGTGTCGGAATAACAGTATCAAGCAGATCATCCATGACATATTCTGCCAAAATTGGTGACACAACAGATCCCATAGGACAACCATGTGTTTGAGAATATATTTTGTTGTTGAAAGAGAAATAATTGTTATGAAAAAGGAATGTTATAATGTTGGTGAAAGATTCTAGAGATATGTTGCAGTGTTGACTTATCTCATTCCAGTGTTTATTAATAGTTCTTGTACATGCATCCAGATAGATGTTGCTGAATAGCGACACCACATCAAGACTGGCGATAATATGATCGGCTGGTATTGTCAATCTGTTGAACTGACGAGAGACTTCGAATGAGTCTTTGATGTAGTAATCATTATCTGCATGTGCTGATTTTAGTGTTGTCGATATTAATGAAGACAAAGCCTGGGTGGCTGAACCTATTGATGCAACTATAGGTCTTACTGAGAGTACAGGTTAGTGAATTTTCGGAAGTGCATAAAATTACTACATTACTACTGTAAGTTGAGTCAATTTAAATTCATTTTACACCTTTGTTGCTACTGTTATCATTGTAATTGCAGCTCCTGAGGATGATGGCAAAGTCCATTGAAAGCTAGAGAGAATTAAAAAAAGTATAAAGAGTCCTCTTTGCTTAAATTTTGTCGAAGTACCCAACAAAAGGCGGAAGCTTTAATTTTTCACCTAACTGGTCTAGACGACAATGACCACGTCTCAAGATATATATATATATATATATATATATATATATATATATATATATATATAAATGAATCCCTATTTTGCATGGTCACGTCATAACTTGAGAACGACTTCATTCATCGTTTTTTAAAAGTTTACTAATGCTATATATGTAGAAGGTTCTTACAGAAAAAAATAAAGAAAATTGATTGAGCATAGAGCACGCACACCAAAAGCAATATTTCAAGTACCAAAAGAGGCAGGCACACCTCTCGGCCAGCTTTATTCCAACAGCTATTGACAGTCAGCTATGCGAGAAAAAATTGCTTATGAAAACACTGAAAATGGTCACCAATTTTAACGAATGTACCAGCTTTCACCAGGTTACTAAATGTTTCCCTCAACTTGACCTTTATTAACGTTTAGCAACAATCTCACATACTATTCTCCTGATGATGATGGCATAGTCCATTGAAAGCTAGAGACTAATAAAGTATGAATCTTGTCGAAGGACCCAACTAAGGGCAGAAGTTTTATTTTTCATATATACAGGGTGTAAACGTTATGATAGTCATTATTTAAATGGGTGATAGAGGGAGCTAAAAGAAGCAAAAAGTTTCATATAACATGGGGGTAAAAACGGCATTTTTTAAGAGAAAAGTGACTTTAAATTAAAATAAAATCTGACAACGCCGCAATGCCAGACGCAAATTACGACTGAGCGCAGTGTAAATAAAGATGGAGTTTGTAGTTTTTGGCTCTTAGGTATTATTTCATTATTTGATAATGTACTCGTAAAATGCAAACAATTAAAAAAAACGGACTTACCACTAACTGACTCAGCGCCTTACCTGGTGTGTGAAAGTTTATTGAACGTATTAAAAGAATCAACTTATAAATAGGGACACAATTTTGATACATACATTGTTTTTCTTTTTAAAACACACTGCACTTTTTTGTATTTAAAGAAGGTGTTCAAAATGTCGTCCTCCACTTTCCACACAAGCTTCATTACGACGAACCCAGTTTCTTCTTACTCTAGGTCCTCGAAGTTGTCTATTTATTATTTCAGCCGCATTAATTTTTTTTTTCGCGACGTTGTTATTGGACCAGCCCCATAAATCATCCTTTTAAGTTCTCCCCAATACCAGAAATCCACCGGATTGAGATCAGGAGATCTTGCTGGCCATTTTCGAGGATCAGGAGCATTTCGGCCGATCCAGCGATTTGGATAATGTTCATTCAAATACTGAATAGCGCCTCTAAAACTGTGTGGTGGTGCCCCATCATGAAGAAACCACAAATTCTGTCTCCGTTGTAATGGCATGTTGCCTAAGGTCTGTTCCAAAAGTTATTGGCTAGACAGCTACGGTATCCTTGTCCTGACAACTTTGGGGGTAACTCGAAAGGGGCAAGTACCTGATCGTCAAAAATACCCGCCCAAATATTTATTTTAAAGCGTTGTTGGAAATGACCTTCACGAAAGATATGAGGATTTTCTTGGGTCCACGTGTGAGTATTATGGAAATTTAATATCCGTCCCGCGTAAAAGTACATCGGTCCATCGCTATAGTGCTTTTAAAAAAATCCGAATTTTCAATATTTTTGTGTAAAAAGCAGTGACAGAATGTTAGTCTGCGAGGATAGTCTTCTGCTAACAAGGCCTGCACACGTTGTACATGGTGTGGATGAAGCAAATTTTCACGCAGAATTCTATGGGCAATGGCATGCGATAGTCCTACACGGCGGCCTAATTCCCGAGTGCTGATATCTGCATTGATTTCCACGATATTTAAAATTTGTTCGTCCTGCTCTACAGTAACCTGTCTTTCATGAGTGCGAATATTAGTGGGCTGAACACTTCCTGTATCTCGAAGTCTTTGGTACACTTGCACAAATGTCCTTCTGTCAGGGTGTACCCGTTGGCGAAATCTGTGGCGATAAATTTGAGCTGCAAGATTTAAATTCTGAGGAGCTTCACCGTAAACTAACAACATGTCGGCGAACTCTTGATTCGAGAACGTTGTAAATAAACACGACGACGTACGCGAACAAAACAAAACGACAGGCCCGATGCCCGATAACTATACTATAACTATCTAAAACTATAATGACTCATCGATGTTCACGTGAACATCACTTAACTACCAGTAGTCGGCTGTTCATAGGCGGGGTATGAATGTTTAACATGGGTGAACTAGATTTGTCACATGCTTAATAAAGAGTGGTTTGAAACATATTGTAAGTCAAAAATTTGGGAATTACCTTTATTCATCGTCGCTTCCACTTACATCTGACAGTAATAAACTGTCGCTATCGCTTTCCTCGTTGAAATTGACTATAACTGGCTCTATGATGGTGTCGATGTGGTGGTCAAGCTGCCACATTTTTGTTTCTTCCTTCACAACATGACGGATAGCATTCTGCCAAGCTTCGGGCGTTACTAGCTGTATGGAAGTCTCAAGTAAAACCTTAACGTCTGGTAATTTGAGGGTTGTGTTATGGCGCACAATATAACCCTTCACTTGAGCCCAGATGAGCTCTATTGGGTTCAGTTCACAGTGGTAGGGCGGTAACCGCAGCACAGTGATACCACATTGACGGGCCATCTCATCAGTCACGTAACTAATGTTCGCAGGTTTGTGCTGTTTAATTTTTTCATACAATTCCGCTTTCACACATGAATCGTCAAACGGGATTCCTTTTTCGCGCAACCATTGCTGCCTGTCACTTTTTCGAGATCCCATAGTCGGTACACGTTCGGCTCGACGACTATGGTAGGAAGCATTATCCATGACGATCACAGAGTTGGGCTCAACTCGCTGAAGCACCCCTTGAAACCAGCTCTCGAAGCAGCTGGCATTCATTTCGTCATGGTAATCACCTCCTTTCTTAGAGACGAAAATCAAGTCACACTCTTCTAAAAAACCACTATCGCTACCAATATGAGATACGATCAATCTTTGACCTTTCCCCGACGGTCCACGAAGACCTGTTGACAAACCTTCAATGCTTGCTTGTCGGTTACTCACTACGTTTTTGTCTATCCAGTTTTTTTTAACTGTGTGACCTGCATTTACCCATGTCTCGTCCAAATAATAGATTTTTCTGCTTTGTCGCCTATATTCAATCATTTCGCGTAGGTATTTTCGACGCCAGGCGACTATTTCAGGTGTCTCTATCAATACTGACTTCCGATTACGCGTTTCGTAACGAAAATTAATTTCGTGCAGGGATTTCCTCATTACCTCGACGCTCATTTGGGGTATAATTTCATTTTCCTTGATCGCTGAATGTACAGCCTTGAGGGTTGGCATCTCATTCCTAAAGAAGAATGAATGTACGGTTCGCCTTAACGCCATTTTGCTATCGTCATCCAATTTAACGGCCTTTCGTCCCTTCAAATTAAACTTTGGATCAGTAGTAGCTCCATTTTTCTTCTTTTCATGCACCACCCTGCGAATGGTCCACTCTGGAACGCCTGTCATACTTTCACAACGCGCGAGTGCATCTCCCTACGACATAGTTCTGTTCAGATAATTGAACACGTTGAGCACGATTTCTTTCGCGTCCCTCTTCAGTGCTTTACGAAGCCGTCTACTTGTTCCCTGGCTTTCAGTACTTCCACTCGTGCCATTTGTACTCTCCATGGTTAAGTATAACCAAAACAGTAACCACAACAATAACAATCACACAACAATTCTTGTAAAAACACTCAATATGCGATCGCTCAACGAAACACGTTCCAATGCGTTGCCGACGCCTATGAGTCTGCCGGTCGAGGCGCGTCTTTGATTTCATTGGTTCCACCGGCGGAGAACAATCAGCCATTATTTCCATCTCTGTCTGTGTTGTTGACCACCGCAAAGCCACAGAAACGACATATGTCGTACGCTATACGGCTGTACTGGAAGGAAGCCGGGATCGAGCTCTGATCACGTGTTGATCACGCGTATGAGTCATTACAGTTTTAAATAGTTGTAGTATAACCACTGTTACCGTTTGCGATCAATTACCGGTTCGATAAGAGTGATGACGACGCGCTGTTGTCGTGTGTGTTTTAAATATTTAATTCATTGAAATTTACTTACTTATTGACTACAAATTTTGCCTTAACTTAGAAAAACTTAATGCCATTTATTTGTTAATTACCCATTTTAAAAACGTTTTAGATTAGGTTATAAAAATTAGTAAGATTGTGGTGATTGTGGTCGATATAAAGCACTTAAAGTTGTAAAGTATAAAGCCATTTAGGCAAAAATCTATTGACCATGGATCATATGAACTTTTTGTCTTGCTTTAGCCACCCTATTACCCATTTCAATAATGACTACTATAACGTTTACACCCTGTATGTATATATAAGACCGTAGTTTGCTTAATGTTTTGTTGTATCAGCAGAAACATGAGCCTTACCAAATGACTGGATAAGTTTACTCCATATTTGCATGACGTAAGCTAGGAGCTTCCCCGTTGATCTCTGGTGCCTGAAGCCTGAAATAAAACTTTTCTCAAGTGATTGGTGTAATTAAACAGCGCTTGTGCCGAAGTATTACACAAAATTTCAGTTAAAGAACACGAAGGATATGATCCATAAGCCTTACTCCCATACCTCTACATTCTGACAATAAAAACAAGCATGTTATTTTTTCAAAATTAATCAACCTATTTAAAAACAAATTCTCGAAGTATATATCGCTTCTCAATGCTCATAGATTCCCTAATTCGCTACCGATACCTCTAGGTCCACCATCTAGAATTCGAATGGACAGACGGCTTATTCGCGCTAGCTTTGAGCCCAACCGACAAGTATACCCAAGACCGAATACTCTACTTCCATCCTATGTCAAGCTTTAGGGAGTTCCGGGTACCAACATCAGTGGTTTGTAATGAAACCGGCTGGGCCATGACTAAACATGCTTTTGAGGTTATGGGCCAAAGCAGAGGCAAGAATGGGCACGTTTCCGCACATTGGATGGATAAAAAAGGTATGGATAAATACTACAGTCGATACTACAACCTGCTTGTCATTCTAGAGAATTAGCTCGATACAAAAAATACTCAGTAGGTGATAAGCAACATAGCAGAGAGTACCGTGACGGTTTTGTAACTGTAAAGTGATCAAATGGTTTTTCTGTTAACTTTTTGTGTTGGCTGCGTGTATTGTTTTTAGGGGATCAGGTGGTATTTAGTGACGAATTCCGCTTCTGTCTGGGGATGCACGATGGTCGGGGAAGAGGGAGAAGGCTTCATGGTGAAAGACGTGACCCACAATTTGACAGAGACCGTCACGTTCACCAAACCGTGGGAGTTATGGTATGTGGTGCTATTGCTTATTATAGCAGATCACCACTAATTTTCAACAGAGGCAATATGTCAGCCCGACGCTATATTCAGGAAGTAGTGGAGCCTCATCTTATTCCATACCTAAACACCAACCAAAACCCGATCTTTCAGCAAGACAATGTCAGACCGCATGTTGCCACAGCATCGATAGCCTTCATGGATCAACATCGCATCAACCGTTTACCTGCAATTGAACATGTCTGGGACATGATAGGTCGCAGACTTTTGAGTTTGCAACACCCTCCACAGACTTTAGCAGCTCTTACTCACGAAGTTGCAGTAGCCTGGAATGAGATACCTCAACAGGATATCGACCACCTATCAGCACGATGCCAAAGCGTGTCAATGAGTGTACAAGTATAATTTAATGATTTTACTAGCAAGGGACACTGAACATATATGCCAAAAATTATTATAATCTGTATATTAACAATCCTTGACGAATTCAATAATCGTATTGAAAAATGCAGGGCTATTGGTCAACTATCTCCATTTTAATTAGTCGAATGAAAGCACGTGTATCATCCTTATCGAATGGCATTAAAATGTTAACACCGGCCAAAAATCACATACGCACTGTTAGAACTCTACTGACGATAGACTCATATACCTATCTGCAGTTCAAATTTGGTATCGAAATATTTCCTATAACTATCTAAAACTGTAGTGACTCATCGATGTTCACGTGAACATCACTTAACTACCAGTAGTCGGCTGTTCATAGGCGGGGTATGAATGTTTAACATGGTTGAACTAGATTTGTCACATGCTTAATAAAGAGTGGTTTGAAACATATTGTAAGTAAAAAATTTGGGAATTACCTTTATTCATCGTCGCTTCCACTTACATCTGACAGTAATAAACTGTCGCTATCGCTTTCCTCGTTGAAATTGACTATAACTGGCTCTATGATGGTGTCGATGTGGTGGTCAAGCTGCCACATTTTTGTTTCTTCCTTCACAACATGACGGATAGCATTCTGCCAAGCTTCGGGCGTTACTAGCTGTATGGAAGTCTCAAGTAAAACCTTAACGTCTGGTAATTTGAAGGTTGTGTTATAGCGCGCAATATACCCTTCACTTGAGCCCAGATGAGCTCTATTGGGTTCAGTTCACAGTGGTAGGGCGGTAACCGCAGCACAGTGACACCACATTGACGGGCCATCTCATCAGTCACGTAACTAATGTTCGCAGGTTTGTGCTGTTTAATTTTTTCATACAATTCCGCTTTCACATATGAATCGTCAAACGGGATTTGTTTTTCGCGCAACCATTGCTGCATGTCACTTTTTCGAGATCCTATAGTCGGTACACGTTCGGCTCGACGACTATGGTAGGAAGCATTATCCATGACGATCACAGAGTTGGGCTCAACTCGCTGAAGCACCCCTTGAAACCAGCTCTCGAAGCAGCTGGCATTCATTTCGTCATGGTAATCACCTCCTTTCTTAGAGACGAAAATCAAGTCACACTCTTCTAAAAAGCCACTATCGCTACCAATATGAGTTACGATCAATCTTTGACCTTTCCCTGACGGTCCACGAAGACCTGTTGACAAACCTTCAATGCTTGCTTGTCGGTTACTCACTACGTTTTTGTCTATCCAAGTTTTTTTAACTGTGTGACCTGCATTTACCCATGCTTCGTCCAAATAATAGATTTTTCTGCTTTGTCGCCTATATTCAATCATTTCGCGTAGGTATTTTCGACGCCAAGCGACTATTTCAGGTCTCTCTATCAATACTGACTTCCGATTACGCGTTTCGTAACGAAAATTAATTTCATGCAGGGATTTCCTCATTACCTTGACGCTCATTTGGGGTATAATTTCATTTTCCTTGATCGCTGCATGTACAGCCTTGAGGGTTGGTATCTCATTCCTAAAGAAGAATGAATGTACGGTTCGCCTTAACGCCATTTTGCTATCGTCATCCAATTTAACAGCCTTTCGTCCCTTCAAATTAAACTTTGGATCAGTAGTAGCTCCAGTTTTCTTCTTTTCATGCACCACCCTGCGAATGGTCCACTCTGGAACGCCTGTCATACTTTCACAACGCGCGAGTGCATCTCCCTGCGACATAGTTCTGTTCAGATAATTGAACACGTTGAGCACGATTTCTTTCGCGTCCCTCTACAGTGCTTTACGAAGCCGTCTACTTGTTCCCTGGCTTTCAGTACTTCCACTCGTGCCATTTGTACTCTCCATGGTTAAGTATGACCAAAACAGTAACCACAGAAACCACAACAATAACAATCACACAACAATTCTTATAAAAACACACAATATGCGATCGCTCAACGAAACATGTTCCAATGCGTTGCCGACGAATATGAGTCTGCCGGTCGAGACGCGTCTTTGATTTCATTGGTTCTACCGACGGAGAACAATCAGCCATTATTTCCATCTCTGTCTGTGCTGTTGACCACCGCAAAGCCACAGAAACGACATATGTCGTACGCTATACGGCTGTACTGGAAGGAAGCCGGGATCGAGCTCTGATCACGTGTTGATCACGCGTATGAGTCATTACAGTTTTAAATAGTTGTAATATAGACGTCTGTTATACATAAGATTCTTATTAGTCGATTTAGAATTAAAATGCGTTTTTAAACAGCAATATGAGTATTTGAAACTTGTTTCTAGTTCAATCAGTATCATCCTGGTATTTCCGTGGTTGACCTGAAGAACTCGTCACTCAGACTGCTTGTATATAGGGTGTTCCTTAATGATATGCGAATATTCAAGGGTGTGAATCTACATGAAAAATTAATGTTAATTTGCTTTATAAACTATGGTCCAAAAACGTTTCCTTACAAAAACTCGGGGTGTTGATGTTTTAGGAAAAAAATAGAAATTAATTAATATTTTCAGAACCGCTTCAGATATTTCACTGATATTTAGTACGTAGTGGAAGTTAATAAAGTCGCATATTTTTCAATGCAAAAATAATTTTTAGCTTTAACAGTGGCGTGCGTACGGGTATTGACTTGGACATGTTTTAAGAAAAAAATGGTACGCCAATGGTTTTTTGCCAAATAAAAATTATTTTTGAATTCCCCGTTCAATTTAAAACAAATGGGCTTTCTTTCCTTCGATGCGCCATTTTTGAGAAAGGACATAAAAACCATTCTATTGTCTAATTTGCAAAATTGTCATTAATTTAATTGGAAAAGTTAAACACATTAGGGGTAATGAACAACAACAACTGACAACATACACATAACATTAATAAAACTAACGAAACGATTACAAAAAATGTTGAAAGTGGCACCCTTCAGTTAGTATTCACGCTTCCGCCCTCCTTCTTATCGAATTGCGCACCCGTTGAAATATCCCTGGAATGTTTGTTATTCTATCCCAAACTGCAACTATTCTTTCTCTTAATTCCTCTATAGCGTTAATGGGGCTTGTGTACACTAGTGTCTTAAGATAGCCCCACAAACAGAAATCTAAACTGTTGAGGTCTGGGGAGCTTGGTGGCCATTCTTGGGGCCCACCGCGGCCAATCCAACAATTTGAATAAACAGTTTGTAAATAATTACAAACCGCTACACTGAAATGCGCTGGTGCACCATCATGCATGTACCACATATTGTTTCTTATTACTAACGGAACATCATCAAGCAGCAAAGGCAACTGTTGTTGAAGAAAATTGAGGTAAGTTTGTCCGTCAAGTCGTCCCGGCAAGAAGAATGGGCGAATAAAGTAGTTGCCAATAATTCCTGCCCATACGTCAACCGAAAATTGGTGTTGGAAATGGGTTTCGGTTACGGCATAGGGATTTTCTTCTGCCCAGAAATGATTATTGTGGAAATTCTGAATGGCATTTCGAGAAAAATTAGCTTCATCCGTGAACAGAATCATTGATTCAAATTGCGGATTTTGTGTAATTTTTTGAAGATACCACTGACAAAAGGTCACACGCCTTGGAAAATCAATGCGAAGTACAAATACGGTGAGGATATAACAAAAATAAACTAAGATTCTCCAAACAATTTGATGGTAAGTCTAGCGATCTTCCTCGTACTCCTTTCAGGATGTTCTTCGACTTCGTGCAGCACTGCTTCCTCAATTTCAGGTGTTCTCACACTTATAGGTCTACCCTCAAATGTTCCTTTTCGGATAGAACCAGTTTCAACAAGACGACGATGAATATTAGAAAAAGTTTCGACTATCTGGCAAAGCACGATCGGGATATCTCTGGTGACAAATTTCTGCATTTGTATAATTCACCGTTATTAACAAGATTGTAAAAGCTAAATCATGAAAAAGATGTCACAACAGAGACTTGTCAGATGTCAAAAGCCAGTGACATATTCCATAGCAACTAGATATTTTTTGCTAAATTGCATTCTTCAATTATTACATTAATTTACACAATAGACAATAGAACAGTTTTTCTATTTTTACTAAAAAATAGCGTATCGAAGGAAAACAATTCAAGAGAGATCATTTCTTTTAAACTGAACATGAAATTCAAAAATAATTTTTATTTGGCAAAAAACCATTTTTTTACTAAAAGATATCGAAGTCAATAGCCGTACGCACGCCACTGTTACAGATGAAAATTGTGTTTGCATTGAAAAATATGCAACTTTATAAACTTTCACTACGTACTAAATATCAGTGAAATATCTGAAGCGGTTCTGAAAATATTATTAATTTCCAGTTTTTTTCCTAAAATTTCAACACCCCGAGTTTTTGTAAGGAAACATTTTTGGACCATAGTTTATATATCAAACTAATATAAACTAAACTAAATTAATTTTTCATATAGATTCACACCCTTGAATATTCGCATATCATTAAGGAACACCCTGTATAATATATTAATGTTCAAGGTATTTCGAGATACTTCCTACTACGACTTCCAGTATTTGAAATAGGTATTGAGAATATTTCGTGTAAATCATCTATAGGTACTACCTCGAATGATTCAAGTAATTCGATACACTTACTAATCAATACGCTGGCAGCAAAACAGAAATTTTGAGGCGTAAATTCGGTTTCCAGTTATACTGGACTGTTTCAGGTCTACTAGGAATTTATAACAGCGCTGAGTCATCACCGGTGGCATAAACTAGGTACATTGTTGTATCTTGAGTTGTTGATTCTTACTTCCTACACCAACGGGCGAAGTACTGTAAGCGTGACAGATTCTAAAAATGCGATGTTGCCCGTTTGGGCGTTTCATAAGATATACGTCTTGAAAAATCATGTTAGTTCCGTTGATCTTACCGTCTGTCTGTTTGCTAATCCTTGGCACCGTTATAGCTTGGAAAGTACCGGAGGGATTTTGGTGAAATTTTGTACCACGGTTACTATGTCAAGTACGAAAAAAGGTTTTATTCTCTTTGAAAACGATCCAATGGAGGCAAAGCCAAACGCATACGCATACATACTTTTGCTTCTAAAATGTTGACAAAACAGTAGGACAGGGGAGAAGTTTCTAGATCGCAACGTTATCATATGGATGGGGACTGTGGACTTATTGTATGAGCCTGTAGGGGTGATTAAATTCATCTAGATGCTGGCAATTCACTTTTTCTTGGAGATGCTAACCTGAGCCGAGCATAACCCTTTATGAACTAATGGCAGCGTTACTTGGGCGGCGGCACAGCCGTGAAGTAGTGATGAGACGTTTACAAATTCACATTATAATTCTGTATACTAATATATTTCTCATTACTTGTTTCGTTGCAGGGATCTTATTCTACAATATGGTGACCAGAGACAGCATTGGTTGTTGGGATTCGGGCAAACCCTACAAAAGAGACAACCTCGGCGTAGTAGCTCAAAGTAGCGAGACGCTGGTGTTCCCCAACGATATCAAAATAGATCAAGAGGAACGACAAAGTGTTTGGGTATTGTCCAACAAACTCCCATTCTATTTATACGAGACACTGGATAAGGATAAAGTAAACTTCAGGATTATGTCTGCTTACACAGACGAGGCCATTGAGGGTACTATTTGTGACCCAAAGAGGAGTTCTTTCGATACTTACGTTGAGTATGGCGGGGAAGAGGACTGTTATTAACTAATTTACAAAATAACGAATTTGCCAATGAATACAATGGGACCCATTCGCTTTATTGTTTTTGAAACCTAACAAAAAAAAGAATAATTAAGTATTCACTGAGAGAAAGAAACATTCAAGTAAATGAATCAAAAAGTGTTGGCAAATATTCTTCATCTACTGTGAAGCATTCTTTTTTAGTGACACTTCCGAGTTTTACGGTTTTCCTAGTTATCATGGCGGCACTACTAGAACAGAAAATCCTTAGGTTGGCGGAAATTGAAGTAGGTAGTACCGTAGTTACAATCGAAATGTGAAGGGGATGTATAGTTTGTTCAAGACTTCGACAAAGATTCCTCATTATATTCATTTGAATACTGCATGAGCTGCTTAATCCGCTATAAATCATTCCCAACAAAGTTCTGCGTTAAATGGGTGATGTCAAAATGTAGTGTCATACTTCACCTTCACGCGCTGTTATGGATCTGGCGTTTTCAAATCGTGCATTACTGCTTGGTCCATACTAAAAGAATGCTGCGAACAATACTATGGTGGGATATGTAGCAAACAACTGAGTGGTCGCAGAATTCCTGAAGAGTCTCACACTTCGGTTGCAAAACACCGACAGGGCAATATTGTCAAGCTTTTCTGCCAGAAAGTGTCTATAAAGGCTTTGTGTGGTTGATATCAATCAAACAGCTATTCTTAGCGGCAGCTAAGCAACGTTTTGCTTCTTGGGTGCTAGTGAAATTGTGAATGAAACGTCACTTGGAGGTATTCGCACTCGGCACACTTGATCGCTATCAGAAAGGAATGTCGGGGATTTAAAGCTACATGAAAAATTCAACTGAGTATCGTAATAAGTCTTAGAGTCTTTAACGAACCATATGCCTTCTCACGCTCTTGTGATCCTAGTTAATTTGGTAATAATTTCTTTTCATCCAACATTTTAACGCAACAATAAATTAATTTCAGTCTTTCGCTTTTTCACATCATCAACGAGAAGTACGTAGTTTACTTGGAAATTTATCTGATCTTAAGAAAGCCTCGAAGGTCATGGTCAGGTACATACGCAAGGATATACTTGAATTTCAAATTTTCCTCAATTTCTATTTCAGAAATTCAAAATAGATGTTTAGCGTTAAAAACGATTTTATCTTCAAATGACCTTAATAGTCATAGTTAGCATAAAGTTTTTTGCTTTTCTATTTCCAATGTCAAAAGTAGGGTTTTCCATTTAAGAAAACTGTCTTGCCCTTCAAATGACCTTGAAGGTTATAGTCAAGGTCATATTCAAGATCACCATTATTTAAATAAACCGTTCATCTTTATTAGACAACATTTTTTCCTTATGAATCGTCTATTTCGAGGTATTTTGTTCCTCTTCCGACTTAGGGGTTTCATTTAGGCAAACTGCTATGACCTTCAGATAAGCTTGAAGGTTATAGTCAAGGTCACCATTAGATAAATCTTCACAAATTCATTAAACAACAGTTTTCCTTATGAATCGTATTTTAGCCCTCTCCCTACTTAGGGGCTTCATTCAGCAAAACTGGATTGACCTTCTAATGAGATTTGAGGTCGCAGTCTCATGAAAAAATGGCTGAAAATGGAAGTGGCCGGTTATTGGGATGCTATGAAAAACCGTTCATTCCAATAATCGGACACAATATCACTGGCCATAATCCACATTATCTGTTATCTTTCGCTGACTGTCCACTGGCCGGCGGTTCGTATTTTGGTTTGTTTAATTCCCAGACAGAAGTTTGATAGTTTCTATATTTAAAGAGAAAAAGATTTATAACGACCACACATTTTGACTAGTATGATGATCCAGTTAGCAGCCACTCCAATTTGACCTCAAAATATTAAAAGAACATATTAAGATTAGATTATTTTGTAAATGTTGAATGTCTTCTGCATATGTAACAAGAACAGTATTATGACAAATGACAAAAATTGAGTAATCGATGGCATGCTGTGTTTGACGTTCTAATTCGGTTGTCAATATGACAATTGTAGATGTAAAATGTCACAAATTAGTTGATAAATCCAGTACCAATTTTCAGCAAGTGTAGGAGGATTTCAAATATCCAAGTTTTTATCAATAATATAACATTGTTGTTGTATAATATTTTGTGTATATAAATGTTTGTAAATATATTAAATATAAATTAAGATACTCTATTAAGGGTTGTAACGTCATAATGATACAATTATTTAAGTAAGTTTAAGAGTAAGGATAATCTGTATTAAATGATTCGTACCTGTGCAAAATGTAATATATACGTATATCTTGTTAATATCTCTATGTACTTGAATTTCTTAGATTTTCGTTACAACTACAGTCATTTTTTAGGCATCACAAAAACACAGTTCATAGGGCGAATACTGTTTCGGGCTTTTTTCAGTTAGGATACAAAACTTATGCCTACGAATAAAATGACTGGTTCGCTTAGAGCACTTATGAAATGTTTTGTTTTGGAAGAAATATTGTTTTTTGTCAAAAGCGCTGCCACTTTTCATCTAAGGCATCTTTATTCAGTTTTATTAATTTGACGTTTCCGACAGATATGGGGATTGCAATAGGTTCCTGCCATGACGTTAGTGACTATACATACAAGTACAAGGCAGTAAGGAGGAATCATATCGAACAAGACAATCTTCTCTTTCCTCTTTGCTCTCCCTCTTCTTTCTTTCTTTTTCTTTTCTCCACCAGCGGTATTTCCTGCCTTCCTTCAGCGTTGCTCTCTCGACTATAACTGACATCACTGCACTGATACTACTCGCTGCCATTGCAGTCATTTTCTAGACAGATCTCAGCAACTGATCTTGTCTTTTTGTGTGCGGTCACACTTCAAATGACAAACCTTTATGTTGCGTTCCGGAGGCACAAAAAATTCACTACTCTGGTATGCGATTTCCTGAAAATACTAGCGACAGTGATGAACTGGGCTTCCTCATCGGGTATTACTATTCGTCATTTGTTTGTCTGGGCGGTTCGTAGGACCTTTGCCCATTAGCCACTGTCTAATGTACGTTAGTCGAATCTGTCAGTCCTGGTTGCCCAGAAACCAGACAATGTCAAGGAAAAAGAGAAAGGGAAAGAGAAGAAAAATGGAGGAGAACATAGAGAAACAGAAGTGTTTAGTTTAAGAGAAGACACCTAGGCTTTTTGACTTGGTACATGGATTAAGAACTTGCTGAAGTTTGACATAATCCCTCAAGTAAGGAATGTCAAGGACTCTGTGTAGTGTTTCGTTTGACACATACCATGGAGCATTGCAAATTGTTCGCAAAGTTCTACTTTACAGTACTTGAAGGCTTTGCATATGTGTCTTGGCAAGAAAACACCAAGCCGCACATGCATAAGTAATGGCTGGTCTAATAATCATTTTATATGGGCGAACTTTGTTTATCAAACTCAATTTGGAGGATCTACATAACAAAGGATATAGTTGCTGAAACGCAATTTCGAATTTTGTTTTCAAGGCTGCTGAACTTTTCTGCCAGGTCATGCCTTTATCAACGGTGACACAGAGGTACTTGGCAGAATTTGTCAATGGTAAAGGATTGGTCCTAGGACCGAACCCTGAGGAACACCGGCCCGTACTGGCCATGTTGTTGACAAAACATTGTTAATTTTGTTTCGAAACTTCCTTCCTTCAAGAAAGGATTTCAGTAATTTTAAAAGCCAAAAAGGAAAACTCTTTTGGATTAGTTTATAAAGGAGGCCCGCGTGCCACACCTTGTCAAAGGCTTTTGAGGCATCCAAAAGCAAGATGCCAGTACTCGTGCTGAGGGAGAACCCTATGGTTACATGTTCCAACAGCCTGACTGCCTGTAGCTCGGTGCTATGCTCGTACCGCACACCGAATTGAACATCACGAATCACATGGTGATTTGACGAAAAATTCTCAAGGTGACGATAAATCACCTTTTCGGCGAGCTTAGAAGGAGCTGACAGCAGACTTATGGGTCGATAATCCTGAGGAAATATCGAACCTACCTTCTTTGGAATCATGATGACCTAGCAGTCTTCCACCCAGCAGGGAAGTACTGGATTCTGAGCGTCGCATTGATTATTGTCACCAAATATGTCAGGGCTTTCGGTGAGAGCAGCTTTAATGCCTTGTTGGTGATTTGATCCTCCCCAGGTGCTTTACGCACCTTGAGGTCTTTGATATGACTTAGGAGCTCCGCGGGTGTGCAATGTGGAAACTCGAAGGGTTCCGCTAATTTGGAGCCTCAGACAAATCTTGTAAAGAAGAGTCATCTGAATAAGAGCCTCCGCTAACGCCGTTGGCCCTTAAATATCTCCTGACGGATCGTACGTCGTGCTGTTCCTCGTCGAGGTCATTATCAAGATCATAGTTGGGAGAGAACTGTTTTTCGATGGCATCAGTGAAAACCTCGACCTTATCCTCCGTTCTGAAGACTTCAGGACCGTGGGTGTGCGGGAGTTGTTCTCTCTTTCCGTTTCTAAGTGACTTTGCGACCCTCCAGAGAGGCATACTTGAATTAAGCATTCCCACCAGAAAGTCACTACATTTCTCGTTGCGGAGTTCGCGCATTGCGTTTCCCAGTTCATGGACAAGATTTATAGCCCTACTAATGTCATCAGGATGATAAGACCTTTTTTCCTGCTTAATAGCGGCTCTTTTGTCAAGATTTTCTGACGAATGTCGGCAGGAAAAAAGGTTTGCCGTGTCGTTGTTTAGGAAGTACAATTGCACGCTGCAGAGCTGCTTGAATGAAACTTGTCCACTCCGCTTGAGCGATATCTATTCCAGACTCATCATCTATAATCGGGATATTGGAAAACTCTCTAAGGAGCAACTTGTAGAGCTCCCAACGCATGTGTTTCTTTGGAGGAGCTTCCTCCTCAGAAGTTTGCTCATTGCCCACATCTAAAACAACAGGTAGATGGTCACTATAGAGATTCGAGAAGAGATACTGTATCTACAGTTTTTAGATATCGCGAAGTAGATGGCATCTGGTGCCTGAAGATGATTGAATGGATGGTGTGTCGGCTCTTCAGTGCTATGTATAAGGTACCCATTTTCATCACATGGTAGTACAATCGAATCCCACTAGTGGAATTCAACCTAAAATTCCATGCTCGATGTCTTCAGTTGAAAATAATTTTGATGAATGCAGGCTGTCTACTATTGTACCTAGACATTTACAGGAAATATCGCCTGCAATGCTTGGGTAGCGCTAATTAGTGGGCTTATTATTTGTTGTAGGGACATTAGCGCGGTTGCCAGGTCCACAGTTTGCTTGTTCAAGGGAGGTTGGGCAAAGGGGGCAGGCAAGGTTGCCTCCCTAGCTGCGTCCGCGTATTATAGATTACACCTTTGCGCTATAACTTACAAGTTCCTCCTTGGAGTTCACTTGTTCACAACTTGCAAGTCCGGCTATTTACGGGATGTCCCTCTCCACAGTTTGCGCACTTGCGCTCTTCCTCTTCTGTGAGGGGGCACAAATGCGTCATGTGGTCCTTTGCACATTTTAAGCATTTGGGCGGTGCAGTGCAATATGACTGCGCATGCCCGTACTTTTGGCAGCGGTGACACTGCCCAATCAGTCTGGAGCTCTTCTGAACCTCAACTCGAATGGCCAGTCCCAGCAGTTCGTGTTCGTTGAACACTTGCTGAGACTTTTCAGTCTCGGGCAGTATCACGACCACCAAAGGCATGGGCGTGCCGTCGCTGCGCTTCAATCGAATGATGTGGAGCAGGCTATATCCCCTCTGCTCAAGTTCTCCCTTAATCTCAGTACCCGAAAAGTTGATGGGAACTCCTCGAACTACCGCGTGGATGTTCAGTTCCGAAGGGAGAGGAAAAGTGTGATTCCTCTCGGAACAGTCGAACGATCTTACGATAGTCTTCCTCAGATTTAGGAATAATCCATATTCCCGCATCGGCAGGAACCGCGCGATCTATTTTAATGCCTAGGGAAATGAATTTGTAGTTTAACGTACGCCACCTCGCCCCATCATGCAGAACAATAGGTGGTCCGCGCCTTTGGCGTGAAGGTTGGCTTGATGCCACGTCAGCTGAGAGAGATGGCTGAAAAGTGACATTGACCGACGGGGTGACCTTAGAGGTAGATAATGTAGTCCCTTCGCCAACCTCTGACAAAGGTTTGGTAATAGTCATAATGTTGCTGATATTTTGTTTCGATGAAGTGGGGGAGGTGCGTAAGAGAGTGGATTCTGTATTTGGAAGAAGTAGAAACTCCTCGGCTCGTCGGTCAGTCTTGTTGGTTCTCCTCCTTCTAGATTTTGCGTTTATAAATCCGTCGGTATGTGTCATCGTCTGACGATGTATATTGATCGTGGTAATGGTCCGTAGCGGTCTCTTTAGGCTGTTGATCCGTTCTTTGGGGGATTCTTTCGAACTTACCAAAAGAGTTACCAGGGCGGTCAGGTTGTCAATTTTAGCCGTCTGGTCCTTGATTGTCTACATGAGTTCTCGGATTTGCCTCGCCTGGTCGTCTATAATCATCATCAGTTTCTCCTTGGTTTTCTGCTCCGATGACATCTGCGTCAATGGGCCCATGTTTTCAGTTTTTGAACGTGGTTCGCCGCCGCTCAGCTCCATTCCCATTATCAGTGGTATTGCTTCCTCTTTGAACCTCCCTGGGTCAACTTCCATATTAAAATAGCTTTTCTTTCCAGCAAACTCGTAAAAGCCTTTAAGCACGCAAATGTGACAATGTTGTCACCCTCATCGGGTGTTGATGTGTTACAGCATAAAAATACTAAGGAGGTGTTTTGTCAAAACGAGAGCATAGTCCGTTCACTTAAACGCCATATTTAGTAAATTTGAATGCCAACCTTAATGCAAAATAGATCCTAAATTGCTACGTATAGTATGAATTTCCCGGGTAGATTTATGTTGGTAACAGTTTTCTGTGTTGTGACATTGTCGCACGGCTTGTCAGGTATAATTATTACGACAATGGCTATTGTTTATTTATGGTTTATTCTCGTTCTTTTTGCCTCTATGCTCACATTGTTATTTAATAAAAACAGTTTTTTTCAAAACTTTGAGGTGACTTTTTTAAAGCATTTTGCTAAAATGCCGAAATCTCTTGGTCGAAAAGCAAGTAATTTCAAATAATGTGGCAACCCTGTGCGTCACTGTCATTATTTGACATTGTGACGTAACTGCTTTGACGTATGTTCGATTTTCGATCTTTTTGTGGCGATATGTTGGCACTCATGACCCTCTCTAATGTTGAAAATATCGGCCA